CTGGGCAGATGTTGCTTTGGTGACACATTAAGAAAAAACAAGCTGTTTCCTTTGGGGAAAATTTGCCTATATGGCACCAACAACTTAATGACCAAGCAGTGGTCATTAAAGAATTATTTATTTTCTTGAGCAGCACTGCAGATAAGCACCATTGCTCAAAGGTAGACCCATATCTGCTGCCTTGAGGTAATATGAAGTATGCTGCCACAGCAAAATCTAGTTGGGAGGGTTTAGACAGTTTAGATGAATGAACTGCACATAGCAAGGCACAGTAACTCACACTGTTAAAAAGGTTTGTCCCAGGATGATGTAAGCTCCATGACAAAGTCTAAACACTGTTGCAGGGAACAGAAGAAGGAAAGAAATTGGCTTCTGAGCTGCATGGCCGAACAGCACAAGTGCTGTGTGTTCTGAGCAGCCAATGGGACAGGCTGTCTAGTCTGCATATCCTCGGTTTCTTCCTACAAAGTGCTATACTCATTAATACCATGAATACTGTAGTAGTAATCTGAGATTGGTACAGTTGAGCACAATGTGTCTGTTCTGGCTTGCACATCCCATAGAGATGCTCCACCTAGTGGCGAGGCCAGAAATTGAACAGCGTGTGGGCCTGGGTAAAACAAAGTGGTCATGATAACCAAAACTCAAATAACAAACAGTCATAAGCAGTACAGTCAGTACTGACTCTACCTATATGTTCCAGGATGCACCAGACTCCTCTACAACTTCCATGTACCATGCAAACCAGGCAGGCAACAGGATGATCTCTCTGGTGTAGAGAAAATAAAAATACTGGTTTTCTTTGCGAAGCAGCTGTTGACAAGCTAAACTGTATGTAGTTTAGTCACCTGACACAATGGGCTTGAAAATTTTGTCAATCACTTTCTAAAACAATGCACCATGGAAACCAATAGTGCAATTCATAAACACAGCAAATACTTCAACCAAACTACCTATCCATCTACAATCAATAGTGTTCTCTGAGACATGAGGAGACAGTGGTGATGAAGGCAGTCTAAATGACATGACCCTATACATCATCCTTTCAGGCATAAATACATCAGTCTTCCTCCAGATGCACAAAGGTGTGGTGCCCCACATTACCTGTTTTAGTGAATTGACTGAAAAGCAATCATTACTTAATGACATCAGCTGATTTACTTGCTTGCTCACCAGGGTCACAGTTGATTCAGAGCTTATCTTGGAAACACTGGGCTCTGGTTGGGACACAAGTCCATCACAGAACACAATGCACACACATGTTCACACAGTCTTTCACACCTAGGGGCAATTCCCCTACTGCCTAGTTTTTGGAAGATAAGACAAAAACTGGAGAACTCAAAAGAAACCCACACAAACATGGAGAAAGACATGCAGAAACAAGCATGCAGAATAACTCCACACAGATAGAAACCTGGGCTCAGGGTGAATCCGATGACCATGAAAGAGGTGGCAATGCTACCCGCTGCACCACCTTTCGATATTTTTATTAGATGAATTGTATAGCAAACTTTAAGTGGAATGTTACAATGACTGTTACTTAACCCATTGTATGGGGGTAGTCTTCATTCTCAGACTCTTCCTCTTTTACATGCTTCAATTGAAATCCTCCATTTGGTTGGGACACAGAGTTCGATGTCCAATCACCTGAAATTCCACCATGTATGTTTAAATACTTTAATCTCAAATACAACTCTGAAGAACAAGGCAGGTGGGGTTGGGAGCACAGGTATTGAAGGACTGGTCCACTCACAAATAAATTCAATTTATGAATATAAAGAGTTACTGAGCTTCAGTCTGGGGCCTTAATTCACCATGTTTTTCTTACAGAGGTAGTCTTTTTCTTCAGGTTCTTCCTTTTTTACATGAGTGTTTTGACACACAGGTGTGATGTGTCCCACAAAGCCTGTCGTGGTTTCACCTGAAATTTCATCAATTTTATTTCAATATTGTTAATGTAAAAAGTATTACTGATCATCAGACTGGAATGTAATGTGTCATGTTGACTTACAAACATACTCTTCATATTCAGGTTCTTCCATTTTGATTTCCATCTGAAGGTCAGTGACTTGTCCCGCAGAGGTCTCTCCACCATACACTGTACACGTTTCTGTTCGCACATTATCACAAACCTAACCAAAGAGTAATAATACTTATTAACAAAGACAATCATCACAATTTATAGATCATGAGCATATGCCCCTCCAGGGGTGTCAGACATATGGCCCGCGGGCCAAAACAATCCGGCCCACAGGATGAATTTTAAAAGTGAAAAACATGGTCGTAACCACGCACTCTTTTTGGGGTGGGGGGTGGGGTGCCCCCCCCCCAATGTTGAGGAAATACCAATCTGTCCCCCCCAATATACAGGGGAAAAAATTTTCTATATGTCCCACTTTAATTTTCCCTGCCAACGGATCTGTCTTTTCTTCATCTATTTATTTTATTTATCTATTTATTTATGTCCATTCTTTTAAAAAAATATATATATTTCCATTTGTTAAGGAAAATCGGTGTGTCCCCTCCAATTGTACACTTGGTTTCGCCCAGACACAACGCAAATTCGTTGATATATTTTAGCAGCTCAGTCTGTAAGAAATGGAGACAGCCAAGTGTAGAAAATACCCTTAGCGTCTGTGGGGGCGGGGGTCTAGAGGTCTAACCCACATCCATCAGGGTCCAGGGTCCATCCCGGGGTCACGGGGAACCTGGAGCCTATTCCAGTGAGAATCGGGCATAAGGCGGGGTACACCCTGGATATGGTGCCAGTCCATTGCATGTAAATGATAATTCGGAAGCAAATTGCACATGTTTCTCTTAAGAAATCTGAGGTTGTTCATGATGATTTGTATTAATGATAATAATAAGAATTTACTAATGTACTTGTACTTCTTTTCATGAAAACAAAGAGAAAAACATGGACTTATTGTTTGTTATTTATAGGTAATTATGCTATGATATTACTGGCCCGGCCCACTTGACATCTAATTAGGCTGTTTGTGGCCCTTGAACTAAATGAGTTTGACAGCTTGCGCTTAGACGATGATAACTTTGTAGCATGCAAGTTACCATGGAGGGAAGGTGATTAACAGAAGAATGGTCACACAGACTGCATTAGTGCTCTGGCTAAAATGCGATAGATTGAGTGCTACAGATGTTTCTATAGTGATTATGAGTTTTTTTTAAACTTATGTGCCTACAAATGCAAGAGAGAAATATAATATAAATATAAAAGAAAATGCAGGGCTCCTCAGAATGAAGAAGAAAGCTCATTCCACCATTGAGGTACCAAGACACTGAAGGAGTACGATCTTCAATAGATATATACAATAAGACCTATAAGGTTTGTGTACACCTGAACAGAACACTTGTGTTTGTTGAACATCACATTCGAGATTTGCTGTTATAATAAGCTCTACTCTTCTGGGAAGAGTAGAGGCTTTCCACTAGATTTTGGGCCGTGGCTGTGGGGATTTGTGTTCATTCAGCTACAAGAGCATTAGTGAGGTTAGCCGCTGTTGTTGATGTGAGGAGGCTCCAGTTTCAGTTCATCCCAAAGGTGTTCACTGAGGTTGAGGTCTGCTCTCTGTGCAGGACACTTGAGTTCTTCCACCTTCTTCCAACCTTCACACACACCACGTCCTTATGGAGCTCGTTTTGTGCACAGGGGCATCATTATGCTGGAACAGGGTTGGGCCTCTTAGTTCCAGTGAAGGGAAATTGCAATGCTACAGCATACAAAGACATTCTATTCAAATGTGTGCTTCCAACATTGCCAATATTTTGGGAAAGAACAACATATTGGTGCCCTGCGATGGACTGGCACCCTGTCCAGGGTGTACCCCGCCTTGTGCCCGATGTTCCCTGGGATAGGCTCCAGGTTCCCCCGCGACCCTGAAGGAGTAAGCGGTTGAAGATGGATGGATGGATGTACAACATAATGGTGTGACAGACAGGTGTCCACAAATATTTGGCCATTTAGTGCATTTAATTTAACCCATGCTCTGATCTGAAAGTGCTGCTTTCGATGGTAGTTATCCCTTACTCTTCCAATATTCTGTTGTTCAAACCTTTAAGAATGAAATACATCAGGCAATTACACATATGGATAATCATTACCTGTGAGCCAACAGGAGCAGAAGTGTGTGGAGGTTTTCTAGAACAGCATGTTTGGACCTCTGCTGACTCCATTTTATGGTCTTATTAGGAGGTCTTAAAGGTTGTGTTTCTGGAAAAGGAGACTAAAATCAAATGCTGAACTCCAGAATCATCTATATACTAATAAAACATGAGGATGCTGGTGTTGGTCATTATGCTGCTTCTGTACACTGTGGTTTACTATATCCTGTGCTGCTGCTACAGATTACATAAAATTGGTATTTATTTTGCCAGTGCTGATTTTTGAGACTACATATGGACTGCTGCATATGTATTTTATCGTCCTTTTTAATGGCAGTGTTGTATTGCACCATGCAGGTTCTGAAAGAAAGTTGTTTCCTTCAGTTAAATGTGGCTGATGTAGAAGTACTTTTTGATGTTATTGATTATAATCAATAACATCGAAAAGTACTTCTACATAATTATATAATTATTTAACCCTTTACTGCATGGTGCTGCTATGTGGCAACAATTAATTTATCTCAATTTTTTCTGATAGGCAATAATAGAAAACTATTTTTTTTCCACGTAACTAAAAAAATTGGGCTTTAACTTATATATATAACTTACATAACAGAAAAATGGTATATATAACTTACATAACAGAAAAATGCCATGTCACATGACTCGGAAGTGCTGTTTGCGCTTCCTTTGCTGCGATCACATGACATGGTGAAGGTCATTAACAGAAAAGCTCACAAAATTTGATTATTTCCAATATTTAGGCAAAACTACTTAAAGGGGGAAAATGTAAACATTATCTGATATGTTAACATTTATTCATTGTCATTTAACCAATTTTTATATTTTGCATATTTTGTTAAATTATAAAATGTAATTGTTGCCATATGGCCTAGTGGTTAGCACGTTCGACTAACACCTCTAGAGACGGGGGTTTGATTCCGACTGTGGCCCTGTGTGTGTGGAGTTTGCATGTTCTCTCCATGCTGCGGGGGTTTCCTCCCACAGTCCAAAGACCTACATGGTAGGATGATTGGCATGTCTAAAGTGTATGAATGAGTGTGTGAGTGTGATTGTGCCCTGCGATGGATTGGCACCCTGTCCAGGGTGTACCCCGCCTTGTACACAATGCTCCCTGGGATAGACTCCAGGTTCCCTGGGATAGACTCCAGGTTCCCTGTGACCCTGAAAAGGAGTAAGCGGTTGAAGATGGATGGAAGGATGGAGAATTGTGGTATGTGCATTCATGAAATGAAACTGGTCTACATAGCAAAAAAGTAAAGAAGACACTAGACACAAAGCTAAAAGACACTAGGCTTCTCCAATAGTATATTTACATTTTTCACAAAGTAAGAACAATTGTTGAAATATCAGGCATTTTCAAATTAAAATTCCACCTTATTTTCTAAATGTCACGTTTCAAGAGAAAAAGAATTAAGAATTCAAGAGAAAGAATTGAAAAGATGTTTCACCCAAAACATGTTTGGATGTAATTTTTGTATGTATTTTGAGTGAGTAAATCCATCCACATATTTTTTTTCCATCCACAACTGTAATTCCTTTCTAGAAGATATAACTTTTACATGCTTACTCAGTGGCAAAAAACCTCTGCAGTTTATAATCTGCAAAGTGCAGTAATTGGAATAGAAACCTCATACATTTTGTGCGATTTTTGACTATAAGATGCTTCCCACCTTTGCACAGTGTTGCCATACAGCAACAATTTACCAACTAATTAAAGAAATAAAAATCCATAAAAACTTTAGCTATTTTTTTTATGCAGATGTAATAATTCATGCAGTATTATCTGCAGATAGTTCCCATGACCCCCATTTGTAAGCCCTACTAGCTCTCTAACTTTATACATATTTGTTTTTATTTACTTTCTGAAGTAAATAAAACCAGAAAGAGTCATATAGGATAAACTATCAAACAACTGCATGACCCAGTCACTAGAAAACAATAACCACAATTATTTATCACAATTATTCAGACAATTTTGAAAGATTTTGTAGATTGTATATTAAAATTCTACAATAAAAAAGCACTAATTTATTTAGAAAAAATCATATAATAACAAAACACGGTTCCCGTTCGTCACGTTTAGCGTTAATCTTTAAAATTTGAAACATAAACACATTTAGACACCAAAAAAATCAGAAAAATCATATTACCAATCAGACATTTAAATCATTTTAATATAGAGCTGTGATTTAGTACACTAATAATCATAAAAACGGTAACGTTTAGTCCAAGACCAAATCCCAAATGTCTCCTTTTTGACTACAAATTGCTCTAGATATAGTGAAAACGCAACAGAATCATTCTCTAATGTATTTCACTCGGAAATGTAGAGCATGTCAGAAATCTGTTGACATACAGATGATTACCTCAGTGAGACCGTTCAACCGTTAGCTCGTCTTCTTCTGTTGTGGGTTTACAGCCTTGTTAAAGTTCACAGCGCCACCTGCTGGAACATTCTGGATTAGGGATGAATGCAGCCTGGTGTGATGGTCTTGTTCTCCAGCCGTATCCCGATGCAGTTCACTTGTTTATCACGTAGATCCATCAGTGAGGTAATAATCTTTACATGGAAATATTCCTGACTAGTTTTTACAGTAACAGATTTGAACATGTTTTCTACGCTCCACTTTGAAACCTGGAGTAAGTTAAACCATCAGCTGCTCGGCAAACAAAATGGCTCCCTACTCCTTTGGAAGTATAATACATAGAGAATGAGACATTGTGTATTTTACTTTTACGCTGTAAAAACGGTGGTGTCGAGGGCTAAAACTTACATACAGTTTCATTTGTGTGATACAGGAAGTTTGAATTTTTCATCTGCCTTGGCCCATTTGCTATGCTGATTTTGAGACCTGTGCTCATACCCCCCAGGTCTTCTTTGGTCACAGATCCAAAAAGCAATCTTGTTGCACAAGGTACATTTCGTAGGATTGATTTGCAAGTGTCTGGCAAGGCAGATTTTGCCAGCCAAACCTGTAGCTGTGCATTGGGAAGTGGTTGCTTAACAGTTAAGGCTCTGGGTTACTGATCGGAATGTTGGGGGTCAGTTGTATACCACCAAGCTGCCACTGTTGGGACACTGAGCAAGGCCCTTAACCCTCTCTGCTCCAGGGGTGCCATATCAGGGCTGACCCTGCGCTCTGACCCTGCGCTCTGACCCTGACTTCGTAACAAGCTAGGATATGCGAAAAAAGAATTTCACGGTGCTGTAATGTATATGTGACAAACAAAGGCTTCTTCTTCTAAACCAGTTTGGCCGAAAATCACCCTTTAAGCCGGCAGGTTTCCCTTTGCACTGAACGAAGTTTGAAACTGCTCTGTCACAGGATTCAGCAGGGTGAAATATCTTGAAATGTAAGCCTTCAACATGTTTTTCTTTATATTTTAATAGTTTCTCTGAAGAGTAGTAGTTTAAAGAAGAATCTGGAATTCTACTTATGATTTCACTCTTCTTCTCCAGAATCATGACTTTTTAGACCTCCTGATAACAGATTAAATGGATTCAGAAGAGGTTCGACTGTGCTTTTCCAGAAAACCTCCACACAATTATCTTCCTGGTGGCTCACAGGTAACATTTATCCATGTGTGTGTAATCTTCTGATATGGTTGAGCTTAATAGAACTGCATGTTGGAATAGCTACAAATAAATTAAAACTCTGTTTCAAATCTGAGCAGCAACCAGGATAAATGATTAATACGTATGATATTCTCTTGGCTGTTTGAATGTTCTTGTGGCCTTGGTAGCTAAGTAAACCTCAATTATCATTATCTCCTCAGACAGTATGGTCAAGATCTGCAAATATGTTATTACGTTAATTTTGCTTAATTTCTATGTGCTGAATAATTATTTTACTCTTTGGCCATTAGTCTTGTGGGGATGCGCAGACAGAAATTTGCACAGCTTCAGGTGGAGGGACATCAGGCTCTGTGGTACATGTCACACCTGTGGACCTTCAGAATATGAAAAAAGAAGAACCTGGAGATGACGACTACCTCTGTAAGTCAACAGGGAACAACACAGTCCAATCTGTTGCTCAGTAGTACATTTAATCTTTACCAGAATAATTTGTATGAACCAGACCCACATTACTGTCTTGTCAGATTTGTATGCCTCTTTCTCTGACTGTTCTTCCAGCCATCCAACCGAGATTCTCCTTAACACGATATCTCAAGAACAAGTGGCTGAATGTTTGTAGTATTTATATGGAATCATCATTGTAATAATCAGCAGATGAACTGATTAGATTTTGGAATTGATCCAAACAGCATTAAGGTCAAATGTCTGAAGTAGTTTTTCTTCAATGTCATTGTTCCCATTTGAAGAATATTTTAACGGTAGTTCTGTTATACAAATTAGTAACATGAAGGACTAGACTTCTTGGTGGCTGAGGTTTTGTTTGTTTGTTTTGTACTTCACTTTGTTTCCTTTAAATGACATTAATGTCTAAATATAGTTGGAATTTCAGGTAATGGACCCTCATGCTCTGTGGGAAACATCGCACCTGTTGACCAACAGAAACTTATTAAAAATGAAGAGCCTGAAGATGAAGACTACCTCAGTAAGGCAATAGGGTGTATTATGGTCCAGTCTGAAGTTCAGTAAAACCTTTTAGTCTCAATTAGACATCATTTGTGCCTGGATCTGTCCCTCAGTTCATTTTCAATGTTATTCCTCAGTTTTTATACTTTTACTTGAGACAGTAGAAAAAAAAGAAAGTATTAAAGTATAAAAGCTGGAATTTCAGGTGGAGAGACAAGCTCTATGAAGTATGTGGCCCAACAGAAGAAACGATTTAAAAGGAAGAATTTAAAAAAGAGAGAAGAGTCTGAAGATTAAGATTACCGCAGTAAAATGGGTTAAGTAACAGTCACTTGGAGATCATTCTAACGCTGGCAATTAATTTAAAAGAAAAAAGTTCTCAGATTTTCTTTGAAAGTCCAGGCTTTGATTTGGCTTGTCTTTGGTTTACACACAAGCGAATGGACTAGCAATTAATTTCAGTCTCAGATTTCTCATTGGTTTGGAAATAACACACATAGTCCTTGGCTACAATCACCGCATTTTTTTTTGTTAACCTTGTAGTATATTTTTAGGGTTTTCCACCCAGTTTCTCCCAAATTTGATCTTGGCCATGCATATAAAGGAGTCCCTCCAGGATTTCGCGATCGCAGAAATTAATGCAAAATCATGGAAACTCCACAATATTTGGAGGAACTTGCATGAGTTGCAATTTGACCAATTTAAGTAGTTTTCCACAAAAAAGCACAAAAAACTCAGCAAGTTGCATCGCAAATTTAGAAAAAAGCCCCATAAATATCAATCTTTTTGGCCGCAACAATCCCAACAAAAGCTCACTGATATCCTGTACGGATTGATAAAGGCTCTTAAAAGAGTTTACGGAAGGCATCTTCCACATAATAAGAGTGTTCACGTTACTAGTAGTAACATAAATTGAGACCCGGTCACTGCACATGTTCACCACAAGTGAACATTGTGTGTGTGTGTGTGTGTAATTATATATATATATATATATATATATATATATATATAAGTCCACAATTCATAGAGCATATGTTTAATTTATGCTGTTTATCTAAGAATAGTTTCAATATTTTCTCTAATACTGTTCATTTTCTGCTCCAGAATTGAATGATGCCCAGGTAGAAGTCTTCTCCTGCTCCTTGTGTTCCGTTTCCTATACATCTAAAATTTACCTCCATGTACACATCAGAAAATGCCACTTAGAGGAATATGAGAGACTGCTAGAATCAGGAGAAATAAAATCTCAGAACTGTATGCGTACAAGAAGCTCCAGTATTCAGGTACTCCGTGGTACTCTCAACATTAACACATCCAGCCACCAAGAGCAGAAAGAAGTCTATCCTTGCTCACAGTGTGGGAAGAGTTTTACTGATCAGAAAAATCTCCT